GACTACTTCATGGCTTATCGATTTTTTCCAAAAACAAACAATGAAAAAATTATTAATTATATAAACAAAATTATATTATGTAAATCTAAAAATATTTGTAAATATCGTAAAAAAAATTGATAACTTATTAATAATGTTTTCTCTCGGCTGCACTATCGCCCACCAGTGCAATGCTCAGACAATGTAGCGTGTTTCTTGCAATAATGTAGTGCAAATTTTATGCACGAAGTGGGATTTTATTACACGATCTCAAAGAGACGATAGAACTAGTGTGACATTAAAAATTTGAAAATGGAAGTTAACCGGCAGCAGAATTAAACACGATAGCATGAAGTAGTGTACAGTGTATACCACTTCAGTGTAGTGCAACATTCACACACAACTGATGCAGTGCGAGTGTATTCCAAGAGAAAATACTATAAGCGAACGCATTGCATAATCAATTCGATTTCGATTTTGTAGAAATATTAGCATTGTTCATCTTGTCTCTCGGAAGTTGCTCGGAATCACTTCGAACGAATCAGCGTACTTGAAATGTAGGATTCAACCGCTGCACTGAGTTCTCAATGAGCTCTTTCATCTGATTGGCATATTTCAATAGACTTAAAATATACCAATCAGAGAAAGATTCAGTGAGTGGTTGACGTTCTGAAAATGCATCCATTGTTATTCGCTGAATTTATTCAATGTCGGAGAGAAACAAATAATGTTTAAAAATAATCGGCTTTTAATATAAATTTCAGTTTTTTTTCCTCGTAATATCTTATAATATTTTTAAGAATTTTTATAATAATTCTTATAAAATCTTATAATATTGGGTTGTCCGGAAAGTTCATGCGGACTAACTTATATAATTTAATAAATGTATACTAAAATTTAAATTTTCTGCGTTTCAATTTTCCTTTAACATCGACACGAACTTTCTGGACAACCCAATAGTTTTAAAAATTTTTAACATTTTTATATATAAAACATTTTTATATAAAAAAATAAAAATTTCTGAAAAAAAATTCCTCTTAAACTTTTTCAGATTTTATAAATATTTTTAAATTCATGTATATAAAGAATTTGAGAAAAAATTATGTTTCTGTTCTAATTCACAATGCTTGAAGTTTTTTCATTGGACTAACCAATCCTATGTTGAATTGATCAATTGACGACGTTGAATTGGACAACTGGATGCTATTCAAAAGTTACATTTAAAGCCGGCGACACATGATGCTTATTTTTCTGTTGAATTGCTAGCTAGATTAGAATCTTGCTCTCTCATATTGGTTACGGTCGCAGCCAATGCGGTGGCATGATTCTAATCCAGCTAGCAATCCCTAGCAAAACATGTGTGCCGCAGGCTTAAAAATAAAGTTGACTTTTCTTGTTCAATCCACTGCGTCAGTAAAATGCTACTATTGGTTAATAATTTTTCGTGTGATAATGCATCTAATACAATAGGTTCTGTTCATATTGAATGAAATCCCTAAATATTTTTCCACTTAAAATGAAATAGATATTTGGCCTTGAAAAGGGAGAAAGCGAAAGATGTCGAGTGCAAAAAATGCAAGCAACGCGAACAGATCTAATATATCACCAACGAGATATTATTAAGATACAACCATAATAGAAAGAATAAAGAATTAGGAACAAGGAATAATAAGCTGTCCAATTAGAGCTCTGATATGTAAGTTAGATATCCCAGAGCTTTCATTGGATAGCTCGTTATTCCCTGTTCCTTGTCCCTATTGTCTGTGCCTATTGTGTTTAAGCCTTAAGAATTTCAATCTTAGATATTGGATACACCGGAATACACAGTTTCTGATAGGTTGGAATCCTTATTTCTTATTTGTTTTATTGTGGCCGCATCAATAAAGATCATCAACCCTGACAAATTTCGGCGATATAAAAAAGTCCCGAAGGTAATTGAAGAATGCTAACATTATCGACAATTTGTATAAATTTGCTATTATTAATATAAACATTTGGCTAATACATTATTAAATTCATAATTTTTTATTACACAAATGCTCCATAAATAAATATGTTTATTTATAAAGCTATAATATTGCCGAAAAATTACAATTTTTTTGTTGCATTTATCATCTTTGATAATCAAACTTTGATAACATTGGAATCACAATTTAAAAAAAAAATTGAATATTATTGAGTTTTAAATGAATGTACACCGATAAACATATCTATAAAATTATTAAATCATAAAATTAATACAATATTATCAGTTTTTTGTTCTTAATCACTACAATATTAATAAGAACGCTAACTTCCGCTAACTTAAAGGGTGTTGATCTTTAATACTATCTTGTCAGTGAATATACTGAGTTGTCCGAAAAGTTCGTGCCGACTAACCTATATAATTTAATAAATATATACTAAAATTTAAATTTTTTGCGTTTCAATTTTCCTTCAACATCGGCACGAATTTTCCGGACAACCCAATATTAAATAATAAATTTTTTCTAATTAATTAAATTCGATATATTCAATATAATGTCTATTCATTCAAGGTGAACATAAATAGTTTTCGAATTGATGAAGACATTGGCCTAATTTTCACCAAAAGTTTAAACCGGATTAAAATGTAAAAACCAACCAACTATATTCCCCTATCGTTCAACTGTAACAGGGGAATACTCGACTGTAGTTGATTGGTTCTTATATTATAATCCGGTTTAAACTCTCAATGGAAACTAGGCTATAGTTCATAATTGATATTTCTATTCCATATTGATAAGACCCTGCATACAATAGAAGGAATAAGGAATTAGAAATAAAGAATAATCGATTTTAATCAGAAATTGTGTATTCCGATATCTGATTTCTGATAGGATTTATTAGAATCATTTATGCCCATTTCTAATGTAGATTATTTTCTCGGTTCAACTTACTCTTCGTTTTTTTCTATTTTTAAGACTACTACTAGAATAAGACGAAGAATAAGTTGAACCGAGATTAAAGTTAATCTACTTTGATGGAAACGGGCATTATTTTTTATTCCTAATTCTTTATTCCTTTTATTGTGCGCAGGGCCTAAGTTTATTCTATCCGGACCCGACATAAAGCACCCGCCATTCCATCTCTGTGATACATCCCTGAGAAGTCCCTGGTGAAGGCGCATATGCGTCGCGCCGTTTCGATATTGAATCTCTCCGAGTGGCGTGCATTTGCTTTTTGCGCAGACGGCGGTCGCGCGAACGAGAAAAAATCGCCCGTAACTTCCGGGTGTGGTTCATCGTTTGGCTTCCGGTGGTAGTCCGCGTAGTACGGTGTTATACAGTTCAGTGCAGTTCTCTACGGCGCATACGTTTGTTGCGTGCTCCGGACAGTTTTTTCCTTTCAATGTGACGACGTTACAGAAATCATCGTATCATGACCCAATGAGATTGGCCGAGTCGCTGATAAATAGTTTCATTAGGCTGGGAAATGGGCTGAGAACAGAAACTCGTACACATTTGTATCGTGGAGTGTTACGGAAAGTGTCATATTCTTAAAACGGGTCAGCAATCTGTGTCGTAGTACTGTTTTGCCTGCGTCCTATTTGCCTCACTATCAAAACAGTAAGAACGTACACGATGATGCAAATTTTATGTGTGTTCGTTCTAATGTTCATCTAGTGTTTCTGATCCGATCAAGTTTAACATCCACGTCGTGGAGGCCTAGAAGATGCTGGTGAGTAAACAGGCGAGAGAGAGAGAGAGAGAGAGAGAGAGAGAGAGAGAGAGCGTAGAATGATGGCAGCAAAAAATAGCAGCAATTACAGTAACAACAACGGTAGCCGTGGAAGCTTGCGTTCTATATATGCCCGTGTGGACTTGACTTTGTCCTCTCATATTTTTTTCAGAGTCCGTTATGCCATACCGCTTTGACGCGTTCGCGCTTCTTTCATCTCTCCCTCTCTCTCTTTCTCTCTCACTCCCTTCCATTTCTCTGCGCGCGCCCACGCACATATGCACCTATATACATATTCATCTATACATATTCACCTATACATATTCACCTTTACTCCTTCCTTTCCCTCTTTCTCTTTTTATCTTTTGGAGATGAGCCCGAATGCGCGAATCTCCTGACGCAATGCTGTCGCATGTAGCTAATGTACTTCTTCACGAGGTCTGGAAACTTCTGTTTTCTCTTGTGGATGCGTGGGAAAATTTTCATGTAGTTTGTTTGTATTTTTGTCCATTTTTACTGATATAGATCAACAATAATCTCAATTTAATTTAATTTTTATATTTTTTCAGTTATAAAAATTAGAAAAAAGTAAAAAATAACTTAAACAAAGTTAATCTAGAAATGGACATTAAATGTGAAAGGCATTTATGTGAGACGATTATGGGTACCAAAGTGTACACGTTTTATCGTTAGCTTTTTAAAATTATTATTAGGACATATAGTACATATATTGTCTTTATCTGATTTCTTTTCAAATAAAAATCAATTTATTTTTAAATAAAAACTAATTAATCTAAGCAATTAATATAAGCAAACCTCAAATATGTTTGAGATAAACAAATATATGTTGATGTTCAGTTATATTTTATACTTTGTACTTTTATATATA